GATGCTGTTTCATGTTCAACAGTACTCACGTCTGGTGCTCGAAACCAAAGTCACAGTTTCAAACTCACAGCATACCCGCCAGGGTAGCAAACAATGGCCAACTATTGGCAGCTCACCACGGCCCGTCGTGTTACCAACGCCCATGAGAAATCTTTCAACTCCGCTTCCTTCTCTTCCTCCTATTTTTCATCTTCCGCGTCCTCAACTTCGCGTCCACCGTTGCGAATTAAGCATGCCCTGAGAGTATTTCGCGTCGTCAACGTCCGGCCCCCGCTGCCGGCCCCTTTTGTCAACAATTTGGCTGGCACACGATATTAAGCGGAGGTATACATATTGGCTATCCCCTCTTTCAAGACTCATAGTATGCTATCTAACGCGTTATACTGCCTCCATATGCTAACCATTTCCCAGAGGCGCTTTGCCGCGGCCGAGAAAATACGTCTCCATCAAAATTTATAATTGCAATACGCTAAAAGACCACATGACACACGAATTAGATTTGACTATTCGTCTTTCCTCGGCAAGCCTTGGTCACCGGGAACGCGCCTTCCTAGCGACAGCTATTGCGGACTATAAAGTTGAGTCGTCCCGGGGAGATAAGCATCGTATGTTCCTATTCAAGCCTTCAAGAGAGCTTCTGTAGCTTTAAGACGACGGGTCACACATCAGTCCTCCGCAACCTACGAGTTGCTGCCATTTCTAAAGCCCGTATTCGAATTTTACCAGAGGGCCTGGATTACATGCACACTCATGCCCACATTATTCATACAGGTACGCTCCGTCTCTGAAAACACCAGTCTAGAATGGACCTGTGTTTAGATTTGAAACTTGATATCGCTTTTGAAGATTAGGCAACTACTGATAGCTCCCTCTGCAGCCAAGTTAATCATCCCATGGCCCGAATAAATAAATTGGGGATCGCACTGTGCACCGCCGTCACAATGACTTCGGGTCAGTCCTCAAAGGACTTGGTGATATGATATCACAAATTACAGAATTTGGACTTGCGCAGCCTAGGGATGGGGGCGAACCGCTAATTCACCTCATACAGCCCAACGAATACCGCGCCCCGGAGGTTCTCCTCGGTATTGGCTGGTCTTATAGCGCTGACACGTGGAGTATTGGTGCCATGATACGTCTTACCATTCACAGCGTCAAGTCTATTTGGCTTTGCTGACATTGTTAGATCTGGCAGCTATTGACCGGCTAGTCTCTCTTTTACCAGCCAAGAACCCAATCATATTCGCCAGCTCAACACCTAGTGGATATGACCGCTCTGATTGGGGACATACCTCTTCACTTATCGAGCGGGAGAGACGAATGCGACACTGGCATGGTCACCGGCAGCCCTGAATCCCCACACAAAACTCTGTGATAATAAGTTGCGGAATTCTGGCGTGGGCCGTTTTTGGCCAAATATGGTGAGTGCAATCTGGACGGTGTGACAATCATTGTCGACTTGGCGAATTAGCCTCTGTACACGTTGATTTGATACCCAGGACGTGAAAACTAGACCAAGAGCTGCCAGAGTGTATACGTGAAGATGGCCATGCCGAACTTTTCCTCGCATTTATAAGGAAAATGCTTTATTGGGTACCTGATAAGCGTGTCACGGCGGCGGAGCTAATAAATGACCCATGGTTGAATTCAAACCCCAACGGCAAATAATCGACAGCTCGTGGCTTGCGCCTTTGCCCATATCGCCGGGCGGTGACTTCCGCTGTCCTGTCTGTTGCTTCTTGGGGATGACACGAAGTTGAAAGAAGGGCCTAGCACATTATCTATTGAAGGGCTAATAGCCCACTCGAGATACCTGGCACAAGAAGCAGCAGATTTTGAAAACAACATCTGAAGTTCTCAACTGTCAGTGGGGCGCGTAGTACGGCCAGGCGTAAGCCCCAAGTGTACTACACCTGATTCGATTGTCTTCTGCGAGAGATTCAGCATCTACACACTAATCCAGAATTTCTCAAGGCAAAGAATACTATACGAAAAGTGTACGTGCTTCCGCTGCTCTGAACACTGGCATTGACGGAACTGCATATGCATACCATATCTATGAGACACGGCGAGCACAAGTCACCGGCGCAGGCTGCAAGACACAGTAGCCGCAAATATTGTTTTTTTTTTCTTATAATATTAGAATTGGCATCTGGAGAACATACTTCGACTTATGCAACGGAGAGGGAACCTTCCGGCCCAAGGCTTCTTCGACGAAGCTTCACGAGCCGACTGTTTGTTCTCAACTGCGAAATGACCCGAGGAAGGAATACTGCCAAAGTTCAGGGAACCCGCGGGAGAAAACCTGCGCGGCAGTAGATACTCGCTATCTGTTAAGAACGTCAGGTTCAATCGCTAGAATCATTTTGCCATCTGCAATGAACCCATTGGGACATTATTGGCTGCCAAGACGTTGCGGTCGTTCTAATCACAACGGACCCAAGAGTCAATAATGTAGTAGTATGCGAAAATTTGTCGGTGGAGTCGGGGCTCTTAAACAGCCATGCAAATGTTCCGAGTCCACCCGCCTGCTATATATGGGTCAATAGTATCCCTTTCATCACCAATGGGGGGCTGGCGCAACGGTAGCGCGTCGGATTCCAGTTCAGCTTCAACATGAGCTTCCCGAAGGTTACCGGTTCAAATCCGGTGTCCCTCATTGTTTTTTTTTTCGCCTACGTCCCAAAAGATTCCAATCCATGTCAACTACTACTCCGTACGGAGATAATTGGCAGATGTCGGTTCCCAAAATAGCAGCAACGTACCGGAGGAAAAATAATGGAGCGTGGACCTGATTAATTAATGGCGAATTGTTTATGGACTGGGGGGCGGTTCATTTTTGCCACCTTTGCAACCATGACACCGCATCCCGTTAATTCTACCGACATTTTTTCCAATTTAACAACTTTGTTGCATCATATCTCCTCATTCACTAGTGCCCAATAGCAGCCGCTGCAATTAAAGTACCACTCACGCTTGTATCCTATTCTGTTCGAGCCAGCACGTGTGCAGTCTTAGGAAAACGCTGGGAACTGCATCGTCTCATAGACATACTCTTCTCGTACCGTTGCAAATTTATTCCATTATTCTCGGAGCATTTTTGTACTTGTCGCGATCCGCTGGAGACATCACACGTGCCTCGGCATTCACACATCCAACACCAGATTGCCAAGATATATCTTCTTAGGTACTTGTTTGTCCCATTGGTAAAGAATAGCAATATACAAGTTCCGTGTCTCCCCATAATCCCCAGCAGATCACATGGTCTGGCGTACAGGCAGCCATTTTACCACCTGGCATTGGAGCTGCGAATCGTCGCATCAACTTGACCCAACTTGGCATGTCGGCTTGCAGTAAAGACAGCCATTATCCCAATATGTACAGTCCGCAACTCGCGAACAGGCCTTCGTTGTAATCCACATGTTAACCACAACGCCTGACACGGTTTTCAAAAAGCACCCAAAGGGCGGTGGTACTTACAACCATTGGAGGACACTCATCGCCAGGAGCGTCTGCAAGCGGATGGGCCATGCACAAGCCGGCAAAGACGGTAACAAGGAAAGCGGTGGCTCGCATTTTGGGATGGTGTTTGTTGACGATTGTGAGTGCAATTGAGGAAGGATTACTTTGAGGCAGATATGTTAGCTGGGCTGGAAATCTCGTCTCTTTTATACCTGTCAAGAAAGCCGAGCAACGGGTTGGTCAGGTTTAAGAAGCCGTCTTCATGGCAAGAGTCAATGTAAATCTCGCAAGGCGGCAGGAACACGCCATGTCTTGATGCACGTCGCCCTCCACAGCACACTTGGCCTCACGGCGATGCTCCACACGGCAGGCGCAGCTGCACGAAATAGTATAACAATTAGTAGTCCGATATGCGCGTATTCGGCTACAGACGGAACCTGTCAACGTCAAGCAGGGTCCTTCGGGCCATCGGTCGCAAGCATCGGGCGTGCGTCGTCCAGCCGCATGGAGATGTGAGGCTGCCGTCGGGCTGCTCCGTCATGATGGATTGACTGTTTCTGCAAAGGGTTGACACTCTATAGGGTAGGCCGCTTACCAGTTGAAGCGGACTGTTGGGCAAAAAGACCATGCCGGGTACAGCACCCCGTTGTTGTTAGTACAGGTATACCTCTCGCCCGCTCAAAGTTGCCTGGCCAGCTCGACCGCTCGGAAGCTCCTGTGGGGCCATCCATGCCTCTGCGTGCCAACACACCAGACGGTTATCGCGTCGTCTCACATCATTGACATGAGCAACGGCCTCATT